CAACTGCCCTCTGCTGTCTTTAAATGGAGTGATTTTGGGGGAAAACTGTTGTCTTTTCTGGGTTCAGGATCATTCTCCTACCTACATGGACAGCCCTTAGAACAATTACTCTCCCCTACCCACTGGAATCTATGGGATGACAGTGCCTGATTTCATGTTGTTGACATAGTGCCTGGGGTGGTCACCACTATGTTGTTCTTTAACTGTAACAGACAGACTATTGTGCCCTCAGGAGCCGTGCTCCTTCCTCCAGTCTCTGTGTACCTGCTCAAAATCTGTCTCCTGTGTTCTCCTTTTGCAGTGTGCCTGTCAGGGAGCTGGATGTCCGGGAAGTTGTAGCCCTGTCAAGGTAACCTGCCCTCACATGGTGCTCGCCACTCTGGACTAAGGGGTACAGATGGAGGGGTGTGTGTGTGTGTGTGTGTGTGTGTGTGTGTGTGTGTAATTATGAGCAGCTAGGATGTCCCTTCCTGTACCCAAAATGGAGCACCTAGCCCTATACTTTGCATTGACTAACTGCATGTCATTTGACTTTTAAATTGTCTGCCTGGCTCCTGAGGTACAGAGCTGAGTTTACAGCTGTTCACCGCATTCCCAGGGCAGTACACACAACACATGAGTTTACCATGCTCACCATTTCAATGTTCAGTGCAGTAAGCACAATCATGCTGTGGTGCAGCCATCACCACCATCCGTCTACAGAACATCCCATCTTATAAACTGTGTCCATTAAACACCGACTCCCCATTGCCCAGCCCTACTGGGGGTCCTGGCACTCATCTTGCCTGTTCTGTGTTGTTCCTCTGAACACGGACACTCTGTAGTAGTGTCTCCTAGGAATGGGGTCCTGTAGGGTTTATCTTATGTGACTGGCCAGACTCATCCAATAAGGGATCATCAAACTTTATCCCTGTGCAGAAATTGTCCATGTTTATTTAAAGGCTTCTTCTCTGTCTTAAAAAAGATTAATTTTTATATGTGTATGAATGTTGTGCCTGCATGTATGTCTGTCACATTCATTTCTGTGCCCCAAAAAGCCAGAAAAGAAACTCAGATCCCCTAGAACTGAAGTAACAGACTGTTGCGGTGTAGAAGGCTGTTTGTTCATCCTTGCTACCCAGAACCAAACTAATGACACAGAAACATTATTATTTAAATCACTGCTTGGCCCATTAGCCCAGCTTCTTTTTTTTAATTTTTATTTATTTATTAAAGATTTCTGACCAGCTTCTTATTGGCTAACTCATATATTAATTTAAGCCATCTCCATTAATCTGTGCACCATCATGTGGTTGTGGCTTACCAGCAAAGTCTTAGCACATCTGTCTCTGGTGACAGCTCCATGGCTTTTCTCTGACTCTGCCCTTTTTTCTCCCAGCATTCAGCCTAGCTACCTAAGTTCTGCCTTACTATAGTTCCAAAGCAGTTTCTTTATTCATTAATGATAATCACAGCACACAGAGGGGACTCCCATATCATTGTGGGTCTCCATGTGGGTGCTGAGAACTGAATCCCGTTGTTCTGCAAGAAGAGCCTGTGCTCTTACTGCTGAGCATCTCTCCAGGCCTGCTCTCTGATTTACAAGACATCACAGAGCAAGCAGCTTTCTGGCAAAGGTGACTCTTGTCCCTTATGGCCTTACATCCTTTGTGGGGACATCCACTGCCATACACTGCCCCAGGCCTTTTGAGGAAACTTTACACCTATGTTAGGGCTGATCTCTGACAGAGACAATGTTAGTATTCAGGCTCACCTGGGCCCTGTCCCTTGGGAACCTGGCACAGTGTGTCACACCCTGAGTCACGCCAGTGTGCATGGCAAACAGTACCCTGTCCCTTTAAGAGACAAGCTCTGTCCACTCCTAATCTCTCCCTCCCTGCTCTTCTTATTTTATTTAAAAAAAAAAACAAATTATCCTTTTTCATTATACATACCAATTCAAGTTCCCACTCCCTCCCCCTCCTCCCATTTCCTCCACTTACTCCATACCCCACCCTAACCCATCCACTCCACAGAGAGGGTAAGTCACAGTGCTTTGGGGAAGGTCCAAGGCCCTCACTATTATATCTAGGGAGAGAAAGATATCCATCCAGAGAGAATGGGTTCCCAAAAAGCCAGTAGAATCAGTAGGGATAAATCCTGGTGCCACTGCCAGTGGACCCTCAGTCTGCCCCAGCCATGCAACCGTCAACCACATTCAGAGGGACTAGTTTGGTCCTATGCTGGTTCCTTCCCTGTCCAGATGGAGTTGGTGAGCTCCAATTATCTCAGGTAAACTGTTTCAGTGGGTGTCCCCATCATGGTCTTGACCTCTTTGCTCTTATTCTCATTCCTCCAACTTTTCAACTGGACTTTGGAAGCTCAGCACAGTGCTCTGATGTGGATCTCTGACTCTGTTTTCATCAGTTGCTGAATGAAGGTTATATGGTAATATTTAAGATATTCAGTCTGATAACAGAGCAAGTTAAGATCGGCCCTCTCTCCTCTATTGCTTAGGGACTTAGCTGGGGTCATCCTTGGGAATTTCTCTAGTGCTAGGTTTCTTACTAGCCCAGAATGGCTCCCTCAATCAGAATATCTCTTTCCTTCTTCTCATTTCTGTCCTTCCTCCATCACGACTATCCCATTCTCTCAAGTACTCCTCCTCCTCCCCTCCTCTCCTCCTCTTCCCCTTCCACTGGAATTGAGTCCATTGATATTAAGAGGTGTTAATGACCAGTGATTATTAATTCCTGTTATTTTTCAGTGGTGTGCATGTGTGTTTCCCTTTTTGGGTGGGGGGTTGCTGGTGGGAGGTTATCTGTTGCCTGTGTTTTTGTGGGCACAGTTAACTTCCTTGGGTTGAGGTTTTCCTTCTAGTAGGGTTAGGTTTTGAATACACATTGTTTAAATCTGGTTTTTCATGGTATATCTTGTTTTCTCCATCAATGGTGATTGAAACCTTTGTTGGGTATAGTAGTCTGGGCTTGCATCTGCAGCAATCTGCCCAGGACCTTCTGGTTTTATGGTTTTCATTGAGAAGTTCAGTGTAATTCTATTAGGTCTACCTTTATATGTTACTTGACCTTTTCCCTTTGCAGCTCTTAATATTCTTTCTTTATTCTGTTTGTTTTACATTTTGATTATTATTTAGCTATGAGTGTCTATTTAGTGTTCTGTATGCTTCTTATACCTTCATAGGAATAACCTTCTTTAGGTTGGAAAAGTTTTCTTCTGTGATTTTTGTTGATTATATTTTCTGTGCCTTTGAGCTGGAGTTCTCCTTCTTCTATCCCTATTATTCTTAGGTTTGGTCTTTTCATGGTGTCCCAGATTTTCTGAATGTTTTGTGCTAAAAATTTGTTGAATTTTATGTTTTCTTTGATGAATGAATTAATTTCCTCTATAGTATCTTCAACACCTGAGATTGACTCTTCCAGCTCTTGTATTCTGTTAGTTATGCTTGCCTCTGTAGTTCCTGTTCATTTACCCAGATTTTTCATATCCATAATTTCCTCGGTTTGTGTTTTCTTTATTGCCTCTATTTCAGTATTCAGTCTCATAATCTTTGCTTCACCTGTTTGATTGTTTTCTCATGTTTTTTTTTGTTTCTTTGGGGGATTTATTAAATTCTTCCAATTTTTTTTATCTTTTCCTCTGTTGTTTTAAGGGAGTTTTTCACTTCCTCTTTAAAGTCTCCATCATCTTCATAAAGTTACATTTAAAATCATTTTCTTCTGTTTCTTCTGGATTCAGATGATCAAGTCTTCCTGTTGTATAACCACTGGGTTCTTGTGTTACCATGTTGCTTTTTAGGTTGTTGAATGAATTCTTGCATTGGTACCTACCCATCTCTTCCTTCAATTGATGCTGGCAGTGTCTTTGCATCTTGGTCCAATCCTTGCTGTGTTTGTTTTAGTCTTTAGGAACTGTTCTCGATCTGCTCTGTACTGTCACTCTCTGTGTCTTAGGGAGCCACTGAGGTCTCTTAGCCCTCTCTCTTGGTCTGCTTTCCTGGTTTGCTCTCTTGGTCTACTCTGTGCAGTAACAGCTTGTGCTTTAGAGTTCCTTTCTTGGTCCTCCTCTTGGTCCTCCCTCATGGTTCTTGTGGTTCTCTCTGTTGGTCCTCTCTGTATTGTAGCAAACTGTATTTCAGAGTTCCACTGAGGTTGTGGAAGGATAGGGAAGTTTAGGAGCAGAATGGGGCTTGTAGTTTGCAGACTCCAATGGACATTGTCAATATTGGGGCAGTCTACCTTCAGGAAACTCTCCTAGAGGCTGACTAGAGAAGCTGAGACAGGTGGGGGAGGGGCCTGGGATTTTGACCCCATATAAAGGCCCTAGAGAGTGGTGTGTCCTGCCTGGTGGCTGGTCACTCATCTCTTGGTCCTCTGTGTATTGTAACAGACTGTGCTTTTCCCTCCCTGCTCTTCTGAAGATGTAAACAGGCCTTTGATTCCCTCTCCTCCCTTCTTTCCCTCCCATCCTTCCCTCTCCCTTCTATCCTAACCTTAATAAACTCCACATTCAAATTCTGTCTGCATGGTATATTTGTCACCGATCATAATTTGGCCCCAATGCCACAAAGGTCTCTCTGGTGCCTTAACAGGTCCTTATATGCCATGGGACCCACCAGGGTCCCTTTCATGCCATAAATCATAACAGACAGAGAGAGCCAGGGCTTTGTGTGCCACCAGCCAGAAGAGGATCAAGGCAGGTTGCTGGCCCAGGTGGGGTGGTCAACAACTACCAGGGACAAAACTTTGGTTCCATCAGGTTTGTGAATTTAAGTAGTCCTTGTCTCTCCTATCCTTAAGTGGAGTAGGAGATACCATGGTTTCTCTCCCTTCTTTCGGTCAAGACTGTGATCTTCCTGCTTAGCTCATCCTCATCTCCCAGGACCATGGACAGACATGATGGCCACAACTTGTTCAGGTCTGTGTGCCTGGTGCACAGATGCCAGTGACATGCATCCCAGGAAATTTCTTGTCACCTTGAGTTCTGGTGTTTTCTTATTGCAGGATGGTCTATGCTCAGCCAAAGGTGCTAACACCCAGGTGAGTAGATTTAGTCAGTGCACGTGTAGTGCAGGAATCATAAAGGTACGGAAGGACGATTTGCTTGCAGCCGGGAATAGTTCAGCAGCACACCTGAGACCCTGGGTCAGTCTCCAGCACTGGAAAAACCAAGAACTCAGAAAAAAAGCCAAAAACCCAATAATGATTCTCTTTGCACTCACTTCAACAACCCTTTCCAAGACTTAAGGTTGTCTCATTCTGGAGCCCAGAGCATCTTCTGGCTCTCATTCCCCATCTGGGCTTCTGTTCATTGTTTCCTGTCTCTGTCACCAGGGTTTTCAGGCTGCAGTGGTAGTAAACTCAGTTGCTTTTAGAGTGGGGTTGGGGTAGTCAGTGAGAGCTGTTGATTGGCCCAGCCCCAACACAGGGATGGTGGGCAGCCCTGGGGGAAGCTGAGGGTGAGATTCTGAGAAGGGTTCCTGCAGAAGTGTTTGGTCACATGTTGCCTCTGGCTCTCTCCCCTTGTAGTAGGACAGATGTACTTGTCTTGACTCCGTGGCTGGCTCCCATCATCTGGGAGGGGACCTTCAACATCGACATCCTGAATGAGCAGTTCAGGCTTCAGAACACCACCATTGGACTGACAGTGTTTGCCATCAAAAAGTAAGCAGAGGGTGCTGGAGAGATGGCTGAGGATAAAGTACTTTCTCCAGGGACGTGAGGACCTGAGTTTGATCCCTAACACCCATGTAAGGGCTGGGCATGGAGTCACACCCCTGTAATCCCAGTACTGTGGGGAGAGACAAGTGGATCCAGGCAGCTTTCTGGACAGCACAGGCAAACATTGAGCTTCAGAGTTAGAGAAGGGACCCTGTACAAAGAACAAAAAGGAAAAATGACAGAAGAAGACCCCCCAAAGTCAACCTCTATCCTCCACACAGGCACACAGGCAAATAAACACAAATCTATACAATGCCATGTACACACATGTGGGAGCCTGTGGGAGCCTGAGGAAGCTTGTGGGAGCCTGTGGGGGCCTGTGGGAGCCTGTGGGGTCCTATAGGAGCCTGTAGAGGCATGTGGGAGCCTGTGGGGGCCTGTGGGGGCCTATGGGGACCTGTGGGAGCCTGTGGGAACCTGTGGGACCTGTGGGAGCCTGTAGGACCTATGGGAGCCTAGGGGGGCCTGTGGGAGCCTGTGGGAGCCTGTGGCCATCAGGTCAGGGCAACATTACAGTGTTGAAGGCTGTAGGGGAACTGAGAGAGACATTTGTGCTGTCTGTATATGAGAATTCTGTATCCTTCCGTGCAGCTCTAGGTGAGGTTCAAGGGTAGCTCTGAGGCCATTGTACTAATCGGACCTGAGAAAGGTTTGGGGCTCAGCTGGAGGGATCTTAGGCACCTTGAGAATGTCTGCAGCTACTAGGGAGTAGCTAGCAACTGACAGTAACAAGATACAAACATTACTTTGTCTGGGTGCTGCTGTGTGCATGAGCAAGAGCCCTGCTAGGTGTCGGTAGGATATTGGCCTGTAGGAAGGAGGCCTCTGAGGTAACTAGCCAGGAGCCCAGTGGTCACTTTTGCACAGGGAAAACAGCCACTTGCCTATTTATGACAGGTGGGGAGGGCTTGGCACACTTGCCAGGTGATGGGGATCCCTGTTCCCATGGTGGGGAAACATGACCCTGGGAAAAGCATTTGGGGAAAAGCAGCCATTTGAAACAGGTGAAACCCTGGACTGGGAGAGGACCTAGAATTCAGGTTAGAAGCCTTCCGCCATTGTACCTGAGGGTTTGGGATAGGCTTGCCCTTCTTTCTAGGGCGTCTGTCTCCCCTTCCCTGCATACTCTGAGATGATGTCTTCCTCTGGTGGAGTGAATGTGGAGTGAGACTTAGGGACTGAGTTACTGAGTGCCTTCTCCCCAGCACCTTCAAGTCTCTGATGAGGAAGGTCTGGGATACAGAGACCCCTTCCTTTCCTGAGACAGGGCCTTGAGAGTGCCACAAAGGAGGGGCGTGGGTACCAGGCCCTTACAGATTCATCCAGTTCCTCCAGGGTTTAGAAAGTGGGGCCCTGTTAGCACAGGCTCTGCTCAGGCCAATGCAAGGATGTGGGATGTGGAATGTTTTGGGAGGGAGCTGTCACTTTTGGGGGTAGGATGACAGACTCATGATGAGGTGGCCTGCTGAGGGACCTGCCAAGACAAGAGATACCTGCAGGATGTCTGCCTGGATCCCCATGTCTGGAGTCATCTGTGCTGCCTGAGTAAAAGCTTCCAGGCCTCTGCCTCAACATTTTTTGCTAAGATGTGGTGCTGATGTTCCACCCTTCTGAGGTAAAGGAGGGTGAGGTGAGGAACAGCCTGCAGACTGCTCAGTACAGCTGTAGAGGTGGGGATGTTGTTGCTTCAAGCCTCATGGTAGCCATGGTTTCTGCAGCCTGGGCCCCTGCCCTGGTTAGTCTTGCCCTAGCTGTGTTAGACCTCTGCTTACCCCTTTGTCACCTTCCACAGGTATGTGGTGTTCCTGAAACTGTTCCTGGAGACGGCAGAGCAGCACTTCATGGTGGGACACAAGGTCATCTACTATGTCTTCACTGACCGTCCTGCCGAGGTGCCGCAGGTGCCCCTGGGGGCAGGACGGAAGCTGGTGGTGCTGACCGTGCGCAACTACTCCCGCTGGCAGGATGTGTCCATGCACAGGATGGAGATGATCAGCGACTTCTCCGAGCGGCGCTTTCTGCAGGAGGTGGACTACCTGGTGTGTGCAGATGTGGACATGAAGTTCCAAGACCACGTGGGTGTGGAGATTCTCTCAGCACTCTTCGGTACCCTGCATCCTGGCTTCTACAGAAGCAGCCGAGAGGCCTTTACCTATGAGCGCCGGCCAAAGTCACAGGCCTACATCCCCCACAATGAGGGCGACTTTTATTACATGGGGGCCTTCTTTGGGGGGTCAGTGTTGGAGGTGCACCGTCTCACCAAGGCCTGCCATCAGGCTATGGTGGAGGACAAGGCCAATGGCATCGAGGCCATCTGGCATGATGAGAGACATCTGAACAAGTACCTGCTGTACCACAAGCCTACAAAGGTGCTGTCCCCAGAGTACATGTGGGACCAGAAGCTGCTGGGCTGGCCCTCTGTCATGAAGAAGCTGAGATATGTGGCTGTGCCCAAGAACCATCAGGCAATCAGGAACAGATAGCTGAATTCCTGTTGGAGAGGCCAGCCTTATATCCAGGGTCACTCCAGGCTGTGTGGAACTGGGAAGATTTGAGAGACATAATGAAGTGTCCCCATCTACCCCCACCTCAGAGTCTGGCAGGCCCAGTGCCACTTGGATTACCACATTCTGAGGCCCTAGAGTGGCAGCCACTTTCAGTTCCCACTGTGTCCCTAAGCTCCTTCTCCTCAGGGGATAGGTTCTGGAGCCTCCAGAAACAGGAGAAACTCTGTCATGCAGTTACCTGAGGGCTTGGGCATCCTCACTCAGCTAGTTTCTTCCTCTTCTGGAGGCTTGACAGGTGGTCAGTGTGCACGGAGGAGGCAGGAGGGCAGGGAGACTCACAGCCTGCAGGCCTCTGAGGTGCTTAGCTCCTGCTCAGCCCAGATGGCAGATCAACAACCAGGACCCTCACCTCTACTCAGTTTTGGTACATGAGGCAATAGTTAGTTATCCATCCTGGGAATAAATGTATTTGTTGATGATATAGGAAGTTTTTAATTTTCTTTCTCTTTATCTGAGGTACTTGGGGTCGAAACCAGGACCTCATGGATGCTATTTGAGCATGTTCCCACTGAAGCTCGATCCCAATCCAGGTTCTCCTAGGGCACACATGACTGGACTTGCTGAGTCTTAGGTCCACTGCATTATTTTTATACTCTGGGTTTCACTTGAAGTTTCCAAATAAAGAGATTGTTACTTTTCTTTTCTTTTACTGTGTTGTGATCAAACTCCATTCCCAGCATCAAATTTACATTTTGGGGGGGACGGTAGGGCAGGGTATTGTTGCTTGCTTTTATTGAGGCAGAATCTTTAGCAGTTCCAGCTGGTTTCAGCCTCACTATGTGGCCAGGGATGACCTTGAACTCCTGATCCTCCTGCTTCTACCTCCAGAGTCCTGGGATTACAGGCATGCCACCATACTAACTCTGACATTCTTAATTTTCTTACAATTCCATTTATCTTGATCTACTTGTGGGACACCTAGTGATGAAGGAAGGTTCTGTCCCTAATGCTTTGGCTGACTTCCAGGAACCTATTCCTCATACTGGGCTGCCTTGTGCAGCCTTAATACAAAGGGACGAGCATAGTCCTACTTGAACTTGATATACCATGCTTTGTTGACACCCATGGACGCCTGCCCTTTTCTTTAAACAGAAACAAAGGAGGGGTGAATTGAGATGGGATGGGGTAAAGTGGTGGGGAGAGAATGGGAGGAAAAGAGGGGGTGAATTGGTTAGGATGTAAAATAAATGAATACATTTAATTAATAATAAAAAAGTAAAAAGCAAAACAAGAACAAAACCAACCCAACATATATCTTGTTCCAAGATGGTATCTGGGCCCTGAGGATGTTATGTGTCCTTGGCTGGTTTTTTATCTCTCACAGTGTGAGAACTTTATGCTTTCTGTGGCAGGATTCCCTATGTATCCCAGGCTGTGTAACAGAGCCTCAGACCTTAGAACTGACTCCATGATGAAAGTACCTTTCAGGCTGCAAAACTCAGCACATAGACAACTCCACCTGCCAAAGCTAAAACAAAGGCCCAATCCATCAAAGCTCTCAGAATGTACTAACCTTGCTTTTTAGCTTCTGTAATCCTGCTTTTGACCGACTGTTCTTATTAACTGAAGTGTATCAACCCGGAAAACCCAGAGTATAGTGCTAGCTTTTTTTTTTTCTGGGGCAAGGTTTATCTGTGTAACAGTGCTGACTGTCCTAGAACACGCTTATAGAGCAGGCTTGAACTCACAGACGTCTGCCAGTCTCTGCCCTCCCAAATGCTGGTGTTAACGATGTGTGCTACCACCCATTGGCCAGAATATGGTTTTTGTACTTAAAAGATCAACCCAAGAAAGGTTCAGGGCTACACTGGGATCCCAAACACCCAGTTTAGTCATAGGCCAACTAGTAAAGTCTTTCTTTTGGCTTAAACCCATGTCTGACCAGTCTTCTTTGATGAATGTCCCCACAACAGCAGACCTGGAATTTGCTCCTAGAACGGGGATGCCTGGAACTCATGGAGATCCACCCCCTTCTCTTGTCAACACACCTGGCAAGAATTTTTTTTCCTCTCTGAAAGCTCCAATTGGCCAATATTTAATAAACCTCCACCATCCTGATACCACAAGTATGTGCTGTCTGCCAAGCCCTGGTCACTTCTGAGACAACTTCCTATCACAGCCTGCCCTTTCTCAGCAATTATGAATTAGCCAATCACATCAATTCCAAGGTCTGGCTCCTACCAATGGGATAAGGCTCATTCAAGACACGTGTTACCACAAACAAAACAAGTGAACTTCCTACTTGGTGTGCTTGCTCAATATTTGTGCGGTGGGGCGTTCTTTTGCAAAAGGAAGTTGCCTTGATAGGTTGACTTAGATTCCTTGTGTGTTTGTGAGACACTGATAATATCTCCAACACATTGTAGACGGCGGTGTCCTACCTTCTCTTCTGTGGTTGGTGAATTTCTCAAACTTTGGGCACCTTCTGTGGATCTACAGAATGTAAGATAGAGGATACAGACAGATATTTGTGTGATCAGGAGAGTCATTTAATCTCAGAGATTATGGTATTTAAGAAAGGGGGGTTCAGTCAACCCAGAAAATCAGGGAAACCAACTTTATGACTTTTGAGGAAGGGAAGTGTTATGCCCAGATCACAGAGTCCCCAAAAACAAACAAGGAGCTCGAGTCCTGTATGTAAAAGCAAAGAGACTTTATTCAAGTTCAAATTTGGACTCTGTGTGTCCAACACATTAACACAATCAGAGCCCAAAGCTCAGTTGGGGTGAGGGATTTCTAAGGTTAGAACACCTGAGTGACTGGCATTTGTCTAGGGGTATACAAGTGAGTGTGCTGGGCTGAGGGACATCAGGTAATCCTATCTACAATGGTTGGAATATTAGGTATTTCCTTTGGAACATTAGGTGCTTTCCCCTGGATGGTCCATTCATGGGCAGTCTCTGTTGAACATGTCGTGGCTGGGCCCTTTAGGAAGAATTGGGTCAGGGAGATCATGCTCTGTGGGCAAGTGAGGAAGGCATCTAGCAGCCATGGGGCAGTGTGAAGGAAAGCCACCTTAGGTGTATTCACGTGAGGTTGGGGAGATTTGCCCTTTGACGGCTGAAGACTCTAATTGCTGGGCATCTGTCGTTTTCCTGACTCAGGACACCTAAGGACCAGCTATTTCCTCCCCATATAGCATCAGGGATCCTGAGAGAGGAAAATGGGAGAGGAGTGGAAGAAAGAGCATTGCTGTGGGAGAGTGAGCCTGTCACAGCCTGACCTGTGTGGTCCTAAGAAAGTGCCTGCTAGTACCTGTAGAAATCAGGGAAACAAGGTCTGCTAATCTCTAGCTCAGAACTAAGGCTTCACGTGTAAGAAGTTCTGAAGCTCTGGGTGTGCTTTTCTGTCACAGCTGGCAGCGTTATTCATATTGGAAAAGCCCAAGGAAATGTTTCTCTCTAATTAAAAATGATTCCAGCCTTACTCGTGGGTAAGAGACAGGCTCTGGCAGGAAATCAGAGTCTGGTAGCTAACTTCCCTCTAACCCCCTAGGCTTCTGTTGGCAGGTCAAGCTGTGGAGGCTTTGGGGTCTCATAGAAGCTCCACCCTTTCAGTTTCTGTAGTCAGAGGCCTCCGCCATAAAGGTTACTTTGCTTGGCCCTGAGGGCCATGATGGATGAGTGTTCTCTTGTTGCGGATGCCTTTGTGCTGTTTTTCTAAGGTTCTGACCAGTTAGTCTGTGTCCCGCTGAGATGCCTTGTGCTCACAGTTGACTTTGAACTTGTGACTCTATCTAGAACCTTCTTTCCTCAGAGCTCTTCCCATGGGGCTGATTGGGCTTTCATAGAAAGAAGATGGAACTTCCAGGGACAATTGCTTTTGTCCCATGATGGGGGTCTCTGGAACAGACAGAGGAATGGACCAGGGAGCTTAGGCAGGTCTCTGCTGCTGATGCTCTTGTGGGCTCTGGGTGAATGCTCAGCTTCTGTCTTACTGGTGAGTTCAGGCAGGAGCATCACTGAAGGGTGGGGCTTCCACTCTTGTCTATCCTGTTGTGGACTGTATCTATTTTGTGAGTTTTCTTGGTTACCTTTCTTGCTTCACCATGAGACCCCCCCTGAGTCCAGGATCTTATTCTTGGTTTTGCTCTGCCCTTATCCAAAGACCGATTCCACCCCACCATGTGCTGAGAGCCACCTCTCATCCTATCCTTTCAGGATGCCTGTGTCTATCTGCTCACTGTCCCTGTTAAGTTCCTGCCCCTCAACCCTCTCGTCCAATGTCCTGGCTCCTTTCCTTGGTCCCCATTTCAGGATAGGGAACTTCCTCATGCTCCAGCATTCTTTGATGACTTTACTCTGCCACCACCTCCAAACAGCTCACTAATCCAGCCAGTTTGGCCCACCTCAGCCCCACACTACCAGCCTGTTCTAGGTCAGTCTCATGTTTGCCAGGATGGTGGACTGTGGTTTCCTGGCATCCGCAGGACATTCTTCCCCCAGTGGCTAGAGTTGTCCCTTGAGTGGTTTCTCTGTTGGATACTTGGAGGACCCCCATGGCCTCTAGGGGCTTCTCTATGTCCTCTTCAATGCCTCTCTGTCTTCATTCACATTCAAGTTTGGGATATTTGGTGCTGGAAGCTGAGAGTTGGGAGTCTTTAAGAGAACAGGTAAAGTAAGGTACAGATCTGGATATTAAGATGGAGAAGGTCCAATGCTCCTTCCTGTTGGGAGCTTCTTGGGTGCCTTCCTCTTCTTGTTTCTCAAAATCCATAGAAGCTTCCATCTCCATTTTGAGAAGAGCCAAAATGTCTCCACAAGGATGTCTTCACTGAGAGCATGCTTTGTGTTCCCTGTCTACTCCACAGGTCTGTTCCTGTGACCTCTTCTGACCTTTCCATTGTGTCCTGCCTTCTTCCCACAGGCAGTGCTCATAGGTCCATGCCAAAGAGACAGAGAGAGAAAACCAAATACCAAACAAACAAACAAGCAACCTTAAAATGTTGTCAAATAAAATCTAGGAAGACACACCTGTACTCACAGCACCTGGTAGTTGGGAGGAGGCAGAGGATCAGTAGCTCAAGGTCACCACTAGTGTCTTATCAAGCTCAAGGACAGTCTCGGCTGCAAGTGACCTGGTCTCAGAATATTTTTAAAAAATAGCATAAAAAATTAAAGCAAATAACAGTGTCAGGAAGTTGAATTCCCGGAATGGAAAAAGGAGTCATGCAAGATTATCCCTGCTTCCATCATTGGTCGTGTGAGGATTCAGGCATAATGCTGGCCCCTGTCACCTGACAAGATGCACACAGGCGGTATTCTAGTCATCCCAGGGTCCTTTGTCTACTACAGCACTAAGTAGTCTGTACGCAGGTGCAAAAGGTCCCTTTAAGAGACAAGCTCCACCCATTCCCGCTGTTCTTCTGAAGAGGCAATCAGGTCTCTGCCTCTCTCTCTCCCTCTCCCTCTCCCTCTCCCTCTCCCTCTCCCTCTCCCTCTCCCTCTCCCTCTCCCTCTCTCTCTCTCTCTCTCTCTCTTTCTTCCTTCTCCTTTACCCTTCTCTGCACTCAAGCTCTGTCTGCGGGGCATATTTGTCTCTTACCCACTGTGAGGCCTCTGGCTCTCGCTCATCAAGGTGTCTCTCATCTGCGTATCATTACATTGGTGCCGGACTCTACCAGGCTCCTTCCATGTTCC